AAAATATCTCTATAGTCTTTTTAGAGTTGCCAACAGAAAGGGGGGGGGAGGGGTTTAAAAGAGCAGTGTGGCAGCTTGGAAACCGAAAGTGCATTCCATAAATGGTTTTTCAAAGATAGTAATAGGTGAATGAAGTTTCTGCCATGCAAAATTCTAACCGGAGAGCCTGATTGATGACTCTTGGCTATGGATGCGTCCCATTGGAGAATATGAATTACGATACAGCCAGTGGATGGGGGAAGACCAGGGCCAAGGGTGACAATGAATGATGTGCCTCAGAGTTGGCTACACCCAGGCAGTGCTGGGCAAGTTAACTCCCAATAAATCCTTTTGAAGTTTTGGAAGTTTGGCTACAGACTCATGATTTAATTGGGGGTAACTGCAAGAATCCTGACACAAAAGCCTTAAAGTTGTCCAGGTTGGAGACCCCCTGCTCTGGGGAACTCAGAGCTGAAGAAGCTTCTGGGATGAGAAGCAAAACGTCTTCAAATAAAAACCAGAAAGTCCAGTTGCCTCTTTTTTTTTTTTAAAGAAAAAAGCACCTTTGGGACAACCATGACCTGGAGAATCTCCATAGACATCTGGGGAACTCAAAATCTTTTCCAAAACCCACACCCCACCTTATTTTAAAATAGGGGTCTCCAACCTTGGCTACTTTAAGACTTGTGGACTTCAACTCCCAGAATTCCTCAGACAGCAAAGCCTGTTTTAAAAGGTGCACAATGGCTAAGGGCAATGCCAGAACCAAGAAACAAAGCACGTCACCATAAAGATTCTATTAAAATATCAACCCGGCCAACTTTTCAAAAAATTAACTCAAATTAAGCTGAGGTAAAAAAAAAACACCCTTTGCCCTGAGAAAAAAATATGGAAGTCATTTCTAAAAGGAGGGTGTCCCTCCAAGCTGTGGGTGCCTTTGCTTACTGATTTAAAATGAATTTATTCTTCTATCATCCATAATTAATCAGCAAGGCGCCTTATAGTCTCAAGGAATCAGGATTCCCAGACATTACAGGCGAGATTTGGGAAAATTTACGCTCCCCCTACTGGTGAGCTGGGCACCCAAAAGCTACCAAAGCTCTTTTTATTTGTGCACTTAATAACTTTTGCATGCTTAACCTGAACTGAAGCTCTGGCTTGGTGTACAATCAGCAAAACCAATCGGCGAATGCATGGTTTGAAACAAAGGGCATTAATTAGCAATTGTTTACAAATTAACTCCCTGCTTTGGCCTGCTCCTGTCTTTGAACCAAGCAAGGATAGTAAATGGAAGGAAAAAAGGGTTGAAAAATCCAGTTTTAAATTGTTTTTATACAACTGTTAATGGTCAGGTCAGAGCAAGGATTCTCTTGGCAGCTGAGAACACTGAATTTGTATTCTTTAACTTTTCTTTTAATGCCAATATCCAGGGCTGGATTAACACGAGTTTTTCAGTTTCTTCTAGGGATAGAATTAAAGTTTTCTATGCTCCTTTTCTAACTTTAGCATAAAAAGGAGAAAGATCCACTCTTCTAAAGCAATATTCCACCCAATTTCAGCCACCTCCTCTTGAGAAACTTTCAGAGAATGTTAAAACTGGGGTTAAAAGTCAAACCCAGAGATTGCAGCTCCTCTATCTCCTTGTGGTAAGACACCATTAATTAGCCTCAAACGCTGTGACACAACACTCTCCACAATTGCCCAAGGAAGAAGCAAGACAATATGTGTGTTAAACCTGTTGGGTGACGTTCAGTTGCAAACCCATGTTTGCCAGAATGCAGGTAACTGGGCCAGATTTGACCGTGTAGCTTCCTGAGGCAGGTTTCTCCTCTGGTTGGATGGTGGGAGAAGATGGTGATTCGGTAGCATTTGACTCTGAGGTACCGGTGGTGGCGGCCAGGGGGATAGATTTGCTGGCCGCAGGAACGGTGGATGCGGTCATGTCCTTATCACAGAGAGTCACTGAGGGGAGAAAAAAAGACAAGAGAAATTTGAAACAGGAGCCCATTCTTTAGTTTAGGACACTTAAGTTTGTATCCGTCACAGTAGAGGTAGTTCTCAACTTACAACCATAACTGAGCTCGAAATATCTTTTTGGGGGGGAGAATACATTTTTATTTTATTTCGCGACATATCCAAGGAGCCGCTGATCCAGTTCTACAGAGGAACTATTGAATCTGTCTTCAGCATCTCTACAACTATCTGGTTTGGTTCTGCAACCCAACAAGACAGACACAGACTCCAGAGAGTAATTAGGACTGCAGAAAAAACAATTACTACCAACCTGCCTTCCATCGAGGACCTGTATCCTGCACGAGTCAAAAAGAGGGCTGTGAAAATATCTACAGACCCCTTACGTCCCGCACATAAACTGTTTCAACTACTACCCTCAAAACGATGCCATGGAGCACTGCACATCAGAATAACTAGACACAAAGACAGTTTTTCCCCGAACCCCATCACTCTGCTAAACAAATGGGAACCGAGGTCAAATGTTCAAGGTAAAGAAAAAGGTAAAAGTTCCCCTCGCACATACATGCCAGTCTTTTCCTACTCCAGGGGGCGGTGCTCATCTCCGTTACAAAACCAAAGAAGAGCCAGCGCTGTCCAAAGACGTCTCCGTGGTCATTTGGCCGGCATGAGTAAACACTGAAGGCGCACGGAACGCTGTTACCTTCCCACCAAAGTGGTCCCTATTTTTCTACTTGCATTTTTTACATGCTTTTGAACTGCTAGATTGGCAGAAATTGGGACAAGTAACGGGAGCTCACTCTGTTATGTGGCGCTAGGGATTCGAACTGCCAACCTTTTCTGATCGACAAGCTCAGCGTCTTAGCCACTGAGCCACCGCGTCCCTTTATGGATGTTCAATTATGTTGCAATGTTTTCATGGACGTCCACAGACCAGGTGAGTCATCTAAAAACAGGATCATGAAACGTTCGTCCCAGGAGCCAAAGATAACACCATAGACATTGGCCAATCTGAGATCTTTAGGGTAGGACGATGTTGACCCTTCTCCATGCCACATCCAATGGTTTTATAGAGTGGCAGTTGAATATTTCTTTAATGACAAAATCACAACCCAGCTTAAAAGAAACTGGTCTTGTGGCTGCTGGCTCCCTTCTCTTAACCCCGTGCTACTATCTCCTCATCTTCTGCTCAAGGTGACCATCTCATTGGCCCATGGTGGAGCCAACACTGATATCAGCCCCACAAATGCAGCCTTTAAGGCAAAGATGGCTCCCTTTATAACTTGTGGACTTCAACTCCCAGAATTCCTGAACCAGAATAGCTGGGCTCAGGAATTCTGGGCGTTATAGCCCAAGTCATAAAAGGGCTATTGTTCTTCACCCCCTGCTTGAAGGGAAACATGTCTCTTGCTAGAAAGAACCCCCTAGTCATGAGCGTCCAACGGAACACCTCGATTCTCGGGACAAGGAAGGGTTTGCTTTTTTCCAACGTGGGCGGTGGGCAGTTTGGAAACCCGTCGAGTACTCTTGGGCTACTCACTCTGGCTACTCAAGCGTCCGTCTTGAAGGAAAGCTTGCAGCGTCACACTCTGGAACGTCTGGGTGACATCGCCGCTTTTCACTATGTCTTCAGTGTCACAACTAAAGGCCGTATTTAGCGGAACTGGATTGGCAGGAAAATTGGCCATAACGGTTATTCGTTCTGTAAAGGAATCCAGAAGTTTGAGAGGCCAAGGCTGCCAGCTGAGTCTTGCAAATATATCAACCTAAATGTCTACGGAGAATTCTCGATCATCCAGATCATGCCTATCCCAAAGATGCTTTGGATTTTGTGTGTGTCATGCCCCTGTTGGAATCTGATTCGGAGGGGGAGGCCAAGCAGCTGACAGGGAGTGAGAGTGTGGCTCCATTGGCTGTGGAAGAAACTGGGGAAGGGCAAAGTCCCCCTCGGCGGAGCAGGGAGAGGTAGAACAAGGGAGAGGGAGTTCAGAGGAAGACCCAGGAGGACCACCCTCTCTTCATCCTAGGGCATGCAGGGAGGAATAGAGAAGGGAGCAATGTGGGTTGTGTGGCTTACGGGAGAGGAAAGGGCCCTGATTCCCTTCATTAGCTGCAGCTGGGAACATGCTGTTTAAAAAGGGAAGCTGCACGCAGCAACTTGTCTGGTATGGTCGAGGCTTATCTGGGTTCCTGGTGTCTTCCCAACTATGTGTGTTTGGATGGCCTGTCAAGTCTGCAATTCCTTCTCCTGCCCTGTCATGTTAATTACTGCAGCATGGTTTATTTGGATTTCTAGTTACAGTTTGTATGTGTCTTTGTTTTTGGACTGAATTTCCTCCACTTAAAGACTGTTCCTGGGAGAGTTTTTCTCCAGTCAAAGGTAACACACATGGACATTGGGGGCAAAGTTGGAGCTAATAAAGGGACTCTTCTTGCTTATTTGAATGTGTTGCCTTTGTGCCACGCCCTGAGTCACCACACTTTGTTTTCCACCCTCCCTTTTAAAAAGTTTTGCTTCTCATCCAAGACGTTTCTCCAATGAACTTCAGTGAGCTTCTTCTGAACCGAAGAAGCTTCCTGGACGAGGAGCGAAACGTTTTCTAGGAAAAAACAACAAGAAAGTCCAGTTGCCCTTTGGAGAAAGCACCTTTGAGATTTTAAACCTAAAATTCCTTGCAGGATTCCGGAGGCCGAAAAAGATAATGGTGCCCCACTTGAACTTAAGCTAGCAATCAGGGTGTGCAAACCCGTAATCAGATTTAAATTAATGTGACAAGATTAATCCAGCCAGGGGAAATGACTTTCTAACCAAGATCTGTTGCAAAGAACTGCAAGGGAAGGTGGGAGAAAGCTCACTTTTTAGCTCACTCAGGAGATACAGCCCGAGTGGCATCTTAAGTATAAGACAGGAGATCAAGAAGAATGAAGCGCCCACTCAGTCTTGCTCAATTGAGCTCGGCCCTTTTCCTACCACTCCTGGTATAAAATGAGGAAATTCCCTTTCAGGCCGAGCCAGTTTAAGTTCTCCAGGAGAGGCAAGGCAAGAAGTAAAGCAACCTGGAAATTGGAAGAATAAGAAGCCTGGGGTTTCGCAAGAGAATCTTGCCACATTTGGGTTTTGCAATAAGCTCCGAGGGCGGAAATACAACACCTGTTTTTCCTCATGACAAAACCTCTTCCATGTAACCCGAGCACTTCATACTACGGTAAAGACACCAAATTCTCCCCTCTGGGGACTGTTATGGGGCAGTCCATGATCCTCACAAGATTCACTTCCAGTTTCACCTCAGTTATTTTTTACAAGATCATTTCTCCTCCTTTTGATGGCCTCCTCGGAGCCTTGAGATATGAATTCAGGATTATCTAAATCGGAGGAGTTGGGCTGATGTGAATTTTATAACTTCAAATTTCCACCCAGAGTAGGAAGGATTCAAACTTTCAAATTTCTTTCTTTCTTTCTGGCATTTTGAGGCACTTTCACTGAGCAAAACAAGGACTTTGACAGCCCTGTAGATATCTCAGAGTCAATGGCAGGAATAAGATGAGTAGTTTATGCGTTAAGATTGATACTGCCCTTCCTGCAGAGGGTGGGAGATGGTATTTCACTTTTATATATATAGATATATGTTTAATATCCCACTTTTGAGGTGTTTCCCCTGTTAAGATGGCGGATAAAGGCATTTCCAGGCTGCCACAACCACCCAGAGAAGTTCAGAGGCGCCATTCAAAGAGGCAACACTCCTTCAGCTGGCGAACCATCACGACAGAACCAAAGCAACCTGAAGACTCCAAACCTACCTTTCCTTTTAGCATCCGGAAAGAACATCAAGTCTCCGGTGTTGTAAACAAAGGTGATGACTCCTTGATAAGTGTCTTTGGTCTTTGTGAAACGAATGGACCAAGAATTCTCGTCCCCAAACTCAATAGAAAGGACGGGGCCCGAGGTCTCATTCCCACAAGAGGTTCCGATGTAGCTCAGGTCTTCCGGGAGCATAAACGTAGATGTTTTCTGCAAAAAAAAAAAAAAAAAGATTTCAAACCAAGTGGGAGCTTTTTTTAAGTTGAATGTGTGTGAGACCCCTGATGAACTCTGGCTGGAAAGCATCTACGGTCAACGTTGAGTTGGGTGGAGACATGACGGCAGTCTTCTAATATTTGAGGGGCTGCTAGTTTCCGAGGCGCCGGAAGACGGGACAAGAAGCAACGGGTGCAGGGGTGGGATTCAAAAATCCCAACAACTACTTCTCTGCTCGATTGCTGGGTGGGCATGGCCTACTGGAACTTCCAGGAGGAGCCATTTTTCGCCTTTCCCAGAATCCGGAGGCTTCCCTCAGGCCTCTGGGAAGCCACCCCTGGGCTCTGGAAGTAGGAAACAGGGCAGTTTCTGGACTTCCAGAACTCTGGGAGACCCAATTTTCATCTCTCTCCCTCCCCCACCCCCCGAGGCCTTTTGGGGATTAAATCCAAAGGACTTGGCAGCCCCCTGGGTAGTTTAACACAATTTTCGAACAGGGCTGTTGAGATGCTTCTGTTTTCAGGATGTAGAGGTTCCCCCCCCCACAATTTTCCCATTGGTAGCTTAAATACTGGGAAACAAAAATAAAATAAAATAAAAATCAGGCATGCTTACAGATCCATCGGTTCCTTCATAGCTTATCGAGAATTTCACCATCCATTTTGCAAACAGACAAGACATGTTAGAGTCATCTTTCACCTCCAAATCTACCGCATAGGTCTGGAAAACAACTAGAAAATGGTTTGCCCAGTAAGCCAGTGATACAATTCATGTCAAAATGTCCCACCGCCCTGCATTTAATTGATTTGAGAAAAATTAACTAGTTGTTGGAAGGCTTGCCTTCAGAAATTGTAGGCGCTCTCTCGCTGGAGGCTTTTGAGAATGGTGGTATAGGGCAGTGGTGGCTAAACTTTTTGGGCTCTGTGCCAAAAATTGTGTGCGGGCTTGCACGCTTGCACTTGCATGCCAGCACCCAGAAGACAATGCACCCCCCCCACGCGCCCTACACATGGGTGCATAATCCCAACCCATCCACGCTGCCCCCTTACCCGCACTGCACCTCACAGCTGATTTTCAGCCAGTTTGAGGCCTTTTTCGGCCTCCCAAAGGCTTGAGGAAGGCTTCTGCAGGCCGAAAACTAGCCCCGTTTCGTCACTTCCGGTATTTTCAGGGAAAAAAAAAAAAGCCTTCCTTGAGCCCTTGGGAGGCCAAAAAAGGCCTTAAACCGGCCGAAAATCAGCTGTGAGGCACATACATGCCCAGTGAGGTAAGTTTGCCTGTAGCTTGCATGCCGGCACAAATGGCTCTGCGTGCCACCTGTGGCACACGTGCCATAGGTTACCATCACGAGTATAGGGGATTAATTGTGCAAAAAGCAAATTTACAAAATAGACCCAATCTATTCCTCAGCTATTTTTAATCTGAGATCAGAATCAGTCTTCGAAGATATTTCTAGTGGGGTGGGGGGGGAAGTAAATTTGTTTTAATTTCCATTTAAACAGAAGTGTTGTGTGTGAATTGCAAGATAGAATAAAAGCTGAGTTTTATACAGCCACGATCACCCTTCTCCCTTAAATTCATTTCTCTTTGTGTTCAGATTATAATTATGTTTGAATGTAGGAGAGAAAGTAGCCGCTTGTTAATGAAAAAAAAAAAACTTCAGGAAGAAAAAATTCACATACGTAATTATCTTTCAGTCATTCTGGCCTAAAGCAGATTTTTATCTAGACTGATGAATTTAAAACACCCACGCTTCATTAGCTATAAAAAAAAACCCACTGCTGATGAAGATGCTATTATAGAAACAAATGTTTGCCTTCTCACATTTCTTGGAGGGTGGATAGAAAATTCAAGGGCACGTGCATATTTTAGAAGTCTCTCAACCCTATTTTATTTCTGCCACCCAACACTTAATAGACTGGATGTCACTCCAGTATGGTAGTAAATTTTTGATGTAATTGCAACACACATGTCCCAGCCTGTCTTTCCCAGACAAAACTCCTGACACGGCGCTTAACAAACAGGTTTAAATGCTGGTTTAACAGCTGTTAAAACCTCTGCAACCGAAAATCCTTCCCTCCTAATTAAGCTCATATTTTAATGATGTGGTTCCCCCCCCCTTTCAAATTGGACAAATGTGGTATAAGATACATTTCCGCACCTGACACACAAATACAATAAGAACAACTTTTTTTTAAAGACAGGAAGGCTAAGAGAAGCACTGAAATTGCAAGAAGAAATTGCTGAAGATGCCAGAGTTTGAACAGGAAAACAACTAGACCAGAGAAGGAACTCCTACCACGCAGAGACCAAATTCTTTCCAATTCTATTACAAAACTCAACAAAAAATGTAACTGGCACTACACCCCTTTCTTTTAAAGTAGGACAGAGTTGTTCTATATGTAAAGATCAGCCATTTATTTATTTATTTATTCTTTCATTCATCTCTGATTCTTGGAGGTTGACAGGACAAATCCCTACAGTTTTCTTGACAAGGTTTTTCAAAAGTGGGTTGCCTTCAGAAGTTGTGGGAGCATCATCACTTGAGACTTTTAAGAAGAGATTGGACTGCCATTTGTCAGAAATGGTGTAGGGTCTCCCACTTGGGTGGGGGGGGGTTGGACTAGATGACCTACAAGGTCCCTTCCAACTCTGATTATCTGTTAAGGGTACATGAAATATTCCCAAACTGAAATCTATTAATCTGTTAAGGGTTTGCGCCATTGCCTCCTTTCCTAGGGCTGAAAGAAAGTGACTGGCCCAAGGCTTTGTGCCTAAAATGGACTTGAATTTATGATATCTCCATCTGTAGCCAAGTGCCTCTGAAGGCCTCTCTATGTGATGCATTTATTATGTCACCATGACTGACTGTCATACATGAACCCACAAGTCCAAAAACTGATTTCAAGCTTCACTAAACTTGATATCAAAATCTGAAAGGAGGCGAAGTCCCAAGAAACACGTCCCGCTAACACTGGCTGAAGAGTTGTGGTTCCAATACCCTTAAAACTTCAAAAGATTTGGATGAGTTTTAGGAACCTCAGTGTTTCAATCGCTGAGAACTCATTCAAGGATGGATCAGGTTCCCCTTCAAGGACAGGGAATTCTCTCTCTGAATTTCTAATTGACAACTGGATCATAAACGGCAGTGGGATCCAGAGTCCAGCTATAAATCAAAGGCTGAGCTTATACACAACATGGAGAGACTGTAAACTACTGAGGGATTTTAGTTTTCGATGATGTCACAACAGCCTTGTTTACACAACAAGTCAAGTCACAAAAGTTGATCCCTGCTGGATTCAGAAGAGCCTCTTTATATTCACATCCAAGCCACGATTGTGGCCTTTTTGGTCTCCAACCTCTGAGAAGTTCTTCCAACCTAGAAAAACTTTTTTTTTTTAAACAAGGCTTACTCAGCCATCTCCCTACTTGCGTGTTGAAGACCTTCAATGTTTGACATGCTCCCCTTTGCTCTTGGCAAGATAAACCAAGCCAGAATTTGGATCTGGATTTGGGTGGGTGGGTGATGTCCAGAAAACTCTCAGCTGGACTGGGGAGCTGAAAAAGTATCAGCCAGAAGAAGAAAAGAGCAAGTCAGCAGAAATCCACCTTTATCTTCTCCATTCGCTGACAGTGATACTTGCTTTTCAGCCTAAGGATGCCAGATTGATTAAAGCTGCTTTAGTAGGTATAATTTCCCCTGAGTTTGTAATAACTCAGATGAGTAATAGCACCTGACTTCTTTTGGCTAGTCCTCAAAAACTACCCAAGGTTGGGCCAGGTTTGTGGTTTAGAAAGGAGATAAGGACTCCCAGGGCTTCAACGTAGCTTGGAAGTGGAACCAACCACCCAACAGAATATAGTTCTGTAATATCTTGTGGCCCAGAATATTGTGGGTTCCTAATCTTCTTAATCTTCTCTTCTGGTCTTTTTGGGGGGGTTTCTCCTCTAACATCCGTTGTTCACTCCTCCATTATGAGCAGGACAACGCAACTGCTTGAGTCTCGCTTCAGATGCAACTTCATCCAATCTTCTCACAACCTTTTGAAGGCATCTTAGAAGCTTCCCTGCTTTTCATGGGATCTCCCCTCTTCTTCTCCTGAGCTTTTAAGGATGTACCCCCGAAGTCTCCATCCTCTTCACCTCCAACCACCAACTCATTTGGAAGGGACAATCCAAGCACTCTCAAACTTTGGGGTGCCTAAGTCGCATTTTACGAGATCTTTCTTCTCTGTTGCCCTCTATCTTTTCCACCCCAAATTCGAGGAAAGGGACACCCAGGAATGCTCTACTGCCCTATTCCAGGCACCCACTCACAACATTTGGAGGGTCCCCCAGTGCACCCCCACTTTTAGGGTGTGGCAATTGCCTCTCCCCACTTTCAGGGGAGCCCTTCTCCATCCCTCTCCACCGCCACCCGCACATTTGAGGGGGGCACCTCCGAATCTTTTACCGCCCACCCCATGCATCGAATCCAAATTCGGGGTGCCTTCCACCATCCCTTTTAGAGCAGGGGTCCCCAAACTTGGCAACTTTTAAGACTTGTGGATTTCAACTCTGGGAGTTGAAATCCACAGGTCTTAAAAGTTGCCAAGTTTGGAGACCTCCATTTTTGGAGCTTCACTCCCACTTTTAGGGCACATCTACTCCTGTTTGCACTTCCAGCTTCCCCACTTTTTAACCCCCCCACTTCCGCCTTTGCTCTCTGTTTCCACCCTCAATTTTTTTTTTGGGGGGGGGGGAGCAGCATGCCCGAATTCTCCATCACCTCTCCTCCCAGGCAACCCTTTCTCCATCTTCAGGGTATGCCCAAGCCGGACCCCTACTTCTGGGGGTGCTTCCAAGAGACCTTCAGCCGCTTCCACACCTCTCCCTGAATACTCTTTCCATATTTGGGGGGGTGGTGTCTCACAACCCCCAATTGCATTCCCAGGGAAGTCCACCCCCCCCAAAAAAAACTTCCAAGAAACCCTGCCCTCCCTCCCCATGGGATATCTTCCTCCCTGAATGTTCTCTCTACCTTTGGAGGGTGTCACCCCCTTATCGCATTCCCAGGGCAGCCCAGCCCCCCCCCAAATTCCTTCCAAGAGACCCTCGGCTGCTTCCACCCCCTGCTATGATGGGGGATTCCCCCTCCCCGAATGCTTCCTCCACCTTTGGGGGGGGTGTCACCCCTCATTGCATTCCCAGGGCAGCCTAGCCACCCTGCAAAACTGCTTCCAAGAGACCCTCGGCCCCTCCCTCCCCATTTGAGACCCCGGGCCCCTCCCTCCCCACTTGAGACCCCCATCCCTGAGCGCGCTCTCTACCTTTTTTTTGGGGGGGGGGGGTCTCATCCGATTATCGCATTCCCAGGGCAGCCCAGAGCCCCCCAAAACTGCTTCCAAGAGACTCTTAGCTGCTTCCACCCCCTCCCATGGAAGACCCCCCCCCACCTCCCCGGATGCTCTCTCCACCTTTGGGGGGCTGTCAACCCCCTTTATCACCTTCCCAGGGCAGCCCACCCCCCAAAAAAACTGCTTCCAAAAGACCCTCCGCTGCTTCCACCCCTCCTTCCCCCTCCCCGAATGATCTCTCTACCTTTGGGGGTGTCACCCTCCCCCCCCGCAACTGTATCCCCAGGCCAGCCCAGCGCCCCCAAAAGTGCCTCCCTCCCCCCCAGGTTCTCACCCAGCCCGTCGAGCAGCAGGGGCAGGAGGAGCAGGCAGCCCGAGAAGAAGGGCGGTCGGAAGCGAAGCCGAGGCGGGTCCATGCCGAAGCGGCGAGGAGAACCAGCAGCAGCCACGAACGGAATCCCGGCAGCGAGACGAGCCGCGCAACTCGCTCAAGCCGGTCATATGGCCAAAGCCAGGGGGCGTGGCCCCGCGGGGATAAAGGAGGAGCCTCTCGGCGGCGCCGACCAATCGCGGCGCGGCTCCGCCTTGCGCGGACCTTGCGGTTCACAGCCGGCCTTTCTGCCGAAACAAGAGGCGGCTGGGCGCGGTTTAGGTTTTCATCACAAAGGAGGGTGTGAGCGGTCAACTTTTATTATTTTATTATTATATTTTATTTTTTGTATTATTTTATTATTTTGTTTTGTTTCATTGTTTTGTTTTGTTTTATTGTTTTGTTTATTGTATTTATTGTATTATTTTATTGTGTTATTGTATTATTTTGTATTATTTTGTTTTAATATTTTATTTCTTTTATTATTTTATTATTTTATTTATTTCATTATTTTATTTTGTTTTAGTTTTATTTTATTACTTTATTTTATTTTATTATTTTATTAAGTTTTATTATTGTATTTTATCATTTTATTTCATTAAATTGCCCCGATTGCAAATTTGAAATCTTTACTACACACACACACACACACACACCCCAATCAGCCACGATTTGAAATCTTTGATTCCCCACCCGTAACCATGGTTTGCTTTGCAAAGTTGGCTTTGGCTGCAGGGCTCTGCCCAAGCCCTGCCAAGCCGCGTAGATGGGGAAGGCACGCCAAACAATTAAAAAAAAAGCTGATTTGGGGAAAGTGCTGAGCTTCGCTGGGGAGCCACGTGAAACCTTGTAATAATTGCAAATAAAGGCGGCGGAGGTGTCACGTTGGGATAATGGGCTTTTTTGTGCTGTAACTTCAAAAAAAAAGGCACCCAGCCTGCTTTCATGCTTAAGGACTAGAACTCCCCATTGCCTGGTGATTGTCTTGAAGTCACCCAGCTGGTTTTCATGGCAAAGGTGGGACTAGAATTCATTCTCCTGGCTAGTGGACCAAACTCATCCAGCCAACTTTCCTGCCTATGGCGGATCTAGAACTCCCAATCTCCTGGCGACTGGACCAAAGTTAACCAGGCTGTTTTCAAGACCTAAGGCAGGACTAGAACTTCCAGTTTCCTAGTGGTTGTCTTGAAGTCACCTAGCTGGCTTTCATGGCTAAAGGGGACGACGACTAGAACTCCCAGTCTCCTGGTGACTGGCCTGAAGTCACCCTGCTGGCTTTCATGGCTAAAGTGGGACTAGAACTCCTAGTCTCCTGGTTGACAAAGTCAACCAGGCAGTTTTCAAGGCCTAAGGTGGGACTAGAACTCCCAATCTCCTGGCGACTGGACCAAAGTCAACCCGGCTGTTTTCAAGGCCTAAGCCAGGACTAGAACTCCCAGTCTCCTAGTGGTGGTCTTGAAGTCACCCA